CCACAAGACAGGGCTTAAATAAGGTCTTGCTTCAGACGTTTTGAAAGCAGAACTGAACATTTACATTGGCAAGGAGGCTTATTCCCATTAAAATGCCTCTCTTCTGTATTAACAAATGCTAATCAGAAGTCACCCAGACCTGGGCATTTTCCAGACTGCCTTAAAGTTCCAATTTCATTCCCTGATGTTACTGGGGGGTGTTTCTTGTGTCTGGACAACTTTGTTAACTTCCCAGTGCTGTCCCATTTTTTCCTCATTTCCCCCCCCCATTCTTTTTAAAATTAGTTTTCCCCATACTTTTTTTCATTGTGAAATGAATTCACAAGATAGCCTCTTCCAGTTTGGTGTAGTAGTTAGGAGTGCGGACACTAATCTGGGAGAACCGGGTTTGATTCCCCACTGTTCCACATGCAGTGGCTGGTGTGACCTTGGGTCAGTCATAAATTCTTTCAGAGCTGTTCTCTCAAGGGCAGTTCTTGGGAGAGCTCTCTCAGCCCCACCTACCTCACAGGGTATCTGTTGTGGGGAGGGGGGAGGGAAAGTGATTGTAAGCCGCTCTGAGACTCCTTTGGGTAGTGAAGGGTGGGATATAAATCCAATTCCTTCTTCTTCTTCTTCTTCTGGATTATCACCCAAACCCATCCAGAAAGGGCGGGTTGGAGTGGCAGTTTTTAAATTAATTTGCATGCCAGCATGGAAACCTTTCAGCGCTGGAGGGCGCCTGCTCTGAAACAAACAGACATTTCCCACTAGGAAGCCCGACACCTTAGCTCTCCATTATTTCATTCAAACTCCAGAGCAAATTATAGCACTATAGTTTTATGTAAGCTGCCCTGAGCCAGCCTCAGCCGGGAGGGTGGGGTAGAAATTTAATCAATCAATCACTTGTTTGTTTGTTTGTAAACATTTTATTTTTAGGATATATTCAACAAAGTCCAACATTTGTATTACACCTCTTATCCCTTTATATCCTACCCTCCTCCCTTTCCCCCCCCCCATGTATGGCTTCCCACAGTGCTACAACCTCCTGCATAATCCTTAGGTTACTCTTAAGTACTCCTCGTTATCTCTTCATATTCAACAGGTAACTTGTTTTTTCACAATTTTCTATACTCAATAGTTATCAAAGCAAAATAAATTGTCTCGCACATCCCAATATTTTTCCAAGTACTCTTTTAAATCTTTCCAGTCTTCAAAAAAGTCTTCTGCTGCCATATTATTCAATTTCCTTGTCATCTTATCCATTTCAACCATGAAAAGTAGTTTTTTAATCCATTCTCCAATTCCAGGAACTTCCTCCGGTTTCCAACTTTGCGCATATATCATTCTGGCAGTCACAATCATGTACCACATAAGCATCCTTTTCGCCACATTAACCTCTTCCATTTTAAGTCCCAAAAGTAATATTTCTGGCTCTTTTTTAAATTTGCAGTTAACTATTTTTTCCATCTCTGCATGAATCTCAACCCAAAACTTCTTTGCTTTTTCACATGTCCACCACATATGGTAAAACGAGCCTTCTACCTCAATCAATCACTTGTGAAGGTACCAGAGCCCTGGGGTCTTAGCCAGAATTTTATTTAGGGAGTAGTTCAGCAAAGAAATGCTCATGAGTGAACAGGGTTGCCAATTCCTACCTGCTTGCCCCCTCCCCCCACAGATCTGCGGCGGCATTCGCCTGTCTCCTTTGCTCTCTTTCTCTCTCTTCTGTCTCTTCCATTTGTTAAGTGGTTCCTCTATACAATACGTGGAAGTAAGAATACATAGGGGTCTCCATGAGGCTGCTGCAGGGCTTCAGCTCATGCGGCAAAAAAAAAAAAAAAACAGGAAAAAGCAAAAAAACCCCCCCCATTCTGAAATGTGAATTTGAACAGATGGGAGACTGATACGGAAAGACGAAAGAAAATGTGCCATCGTGAACAGATCACACCGATAGCACAGTCTTTGGGACCGCCATGACACTGACGAAGACCCCAAAGGCAGCTGCGGTCTGGAAAATGCCCTGGATGGCCCAGGCCAGCCTGATGTCAGAAGCTCAGCAAGGTTGGCGCTGGTGAGGACTTGGATGAGAGGCCACCAAGGAAGTCCAGGGTTGCGGCTCAGAGGCAGGCCATGGCAAACTACCAAAGTTTATCTCTTGCTTTGATAACCCTACGGGATGGTCATGAATCAACTGTGACTTGAGGGCACTTCCCGTCACCATTCAAAAGTTAACAGGGGGGGGGGTCAGGGCTCAAAGGCAAATGCACCTGCTTTCTGTTTGTGGAACTCTTGAGGTCATGGATTATGTAAACCAGGGGTCGTTTCGTAGAAAAAGAGCTAGGGGAACTCATTAGCATAACTCATTAGCATATGCCACACACCCTGACATCACCGGAAGTGTGTCATAAGGCCACACACCCCGCCCCCAACGGTCCCATGAGGGGCCCGGCGGTGGACCTGCAAGGCCGGCAGGAGTGCAAGGAAGCCCCGCGAAGGCCCTCCCTGGCCCCAGGCAGGCAGGGGGGGGAGAGGCAGGGAGGAAGCAACTTACCCTCCCTCTTCTCCTGCCTCCTCCTGGCTGAATGAGGGCCGGAAGCGGGGCGGCCGGAAGCAGGGGGCGGGGCTTCGTCATGTGCCCCGCCCCCGTACTTCACCCAGGGGAACTGCGATCCCCCGCAATCCCCCCCGAAATGACCTCTGATGTAAACTGATATACCGGGGACAGGCATAGGGCAGGGGAGTAGAGTTGCCAGCCTCCAGGTGGGGGCTGGATATCTAGAATTACAACTGCTCTCCAGATGACATAAATTGCTTATTCTTTCTTTCTTTACAATATTTATTCCATTTCCCTTGGAGGAAAGGGCTGCTGTGGAGGGTGGGCTGCATGGCATTCTACCCTATCGAGGTCCCTCCCTTCCCTAAACCCCACCCTCCCAGGGTCCACCCTCAACTCTCGAGGTACAATTGGCAGCCAAAGGGAATGAATAATCTTTTTGTTCCTTCCGTTTCTAGAGCTGTGTTCACTTGTTATATATGCTAACATTGGATTGGGGGGGGGACATTTCACTAATAGCAACTACCAGGGCTTTTAGCAGGAACTCATTAGCATAACAGGCCACACCCAACAACAGAAACTCTTTAGCATATTAGGCCACACCCCCTGACAGCACAGCTCATTAGCATATTAGCCCTGGGCCAACTACTAAGTTCAAAACCTCCGTCTCTGTGCCTTTCTCTGTCTGTCTCTCAAAACCCCTCCAGGTAGGGCCTGGAGATCTCCCAGAATTACAACTGATCTCCAGACTACAGTTCCCCTGGAGAAAATAGCTGCTTTGGAGGGTGGACTGCAGAGCATTAAATACCTAGGGTGGCCAGGTTGCTTTCCGGTTGCAGCGGAGGGGGGGAGGAGTAGGTTCCGGTCCGGGAGCGCATGCACGCACTGCGATGACATCACCCAGAAGTGACATCATCACGCTAGGCACGTTGCCGGTGGACGCTTTAGCATTCAGCTTGAAAACTCTATGATACCATAGAGTTTTCAGGCCGAATGCTAAAGCATCCACCAGTGACGTGCCCAGCGCGATGACATAACCTCTGGGTGACATCATTGCACCAGGCACGTTGGCCCGATCTGGGCACTTTGGGGGTGGGTTCCCCCTGCCAGCCACATCCAGGCTGGCAGGCCGGAGACCCTTTGAGCAGGCAAACCCCTGCCCCCCTCGGGGGACCTGGCAGCCCTCGTTATACCTCACTGAGGCCCCTCCCCTTCCCAAACCCTGCCCTACCAAGGCTATACCCCCAACTCTCTAGGAGTTTCCTAACCTGGAGTTGGCAGCCCTTACCTTACCATACCAGGTTGTATCAGGCATCTAGAGAGTCCTGGGCCACTTTCAGTTTTGGAGGTAGGGTTGCCAACCTCCAGGTGGAGGCCGAAGATCTCCTGGAATTTCAACTGATCTCCAGCCTACCGAAATCGTTTCCCCTGGAGAAAATGGCTGTTTCAGAAGATACAGTCTATGGTATTGTAGTCCACCGGGGTCCCTCTACTTCCCAAACCCTAGGCATCACCCCAAAAATATTTTCCAACCCAGACCTGGCATCCTTATTTTGAGGCTCTTAGCTGTAATAAAAAAAAATTAAATGATGAAATGATTTGATTTGCAGCTCTAAACTGAGAGAGTGCGTCCCGTTTTCGTCTGAAAGGGATGAGTGTAAGAACAAGCTACCCAATGCCAAAACATTAAGCAGTGAGCCCCCCTTTCGGCTTGAACCCCTGGCCAAATGGCCTCTTGGCACCCTCTCTGATTGGCCTTGGCATCTACTGCTAGTGGTGTTCTTTTTCAAGTCTGGCAAATATATATATATTTGACGCTTCAGGGTGTGTGTGTGTGTGTGTGTATTTGAATGCATTGGAACTTTAAATTGCTCGTTGGCTACAGTGTAGACTAAACCTGATAAAAATAGCTTGGAACCAGAAATAACTTATAAAAAAGATCTAACTGGCTGCTCCACAGTTGAGACCTAACATTGTCAAGACAGATTGCTCAGTGTACTCCGTGGGGATTGAAAGGCTTTTTCTTTTTAGAAAGTTATTTCTCTCTGTGTGTCTTTTTGTAATGCACAGTCAATAGCGTGGCACTATCTCAAGACTATCCTGCCAACCTAGCAGTTCGAAAGCAAGAAATTGCAAGTAGATAAATAGGTACCACTTCGGTGGGAAGGTAACAGCATTCTGTGCGCCTTGGTGTTTAGTCATGCCAGCCACATGACCACGGAAACGTCTTCGGACAGCGCTGGCTCTTCGGCTTTGAGACGGAGATGAGCACCGCAACCCTAGAGTCGGATTCGACTGGCTTTCGAGCAAGGGAACCTTTACCTTTATCTCAAGACCCCTTCTGGCCTTTCGTGTGAAAACGTTAACCTTTTTTTTAATTATTAAATGAATTGCGTATATCTGCTGGACCTTCTGGGCAAGCAGGACTGACTTCCTTCACCCCTTGCCTCTCCTTGTTCTTCAGAATCACATACTCACCCTGATGTCGGTGGCCGCTCAGATCTACAAGCACCCCAGCCTTAAGAACTCCATCAGTTTGGTAGTGGTGAAGGTGCTGGTGGTGGAAGACAAGAGGGCTGGGCCGGAGGTGTCCGACAACGGGGGGCTCATGCTACGGAACTTCTGCAACTGGCAGCAACACTTCAACCCTGCGAGTGACCGTCACCCGGAACATTACGACACAGCAATTCTGCTGACCAGACAGGTATGGCAATGCTAGACTCCTTCAAAGCCATCCTGGGGGCCGAACTGGAGAAAAAACAGGAACGTATTGACAGCAGAGTTTAATGACTGCCAGCTTGGTGTCTTATTCTTCAGTGGATCAGGTATCAAGTCCACACGGTCACCTGGAGGTGAACCTAATTTTCTGCAGGTGACCACGCTAGTGACTATTGGTCTAAAAGATACACAAAACGGGAAAGAGAGATTCTGTTTTCACACTGATCGTGTGTGAGCTTCTGTCGAGTCCACACCCAATATACATCTAGCAAAGACAGCCTAAGCCATTTTGGCACCTGAAGCTGCACGTTCAAGTACTTAGAATGAAAATAGTAACCCTTTGCTGCGATTTAAATGATACCTTAAATCCACTGCCTGAGATGGGCCAGTCCTGATTCCTACAAACCCTCAATTGAGCCATATTGATTTGCAAATGAATTCTGACTCTTCTTGCAGCTCTCTTCACCTTTATCGCTGTCCTTACTTACAGGACTTCTGCGGACACCAGAGCTGCAGTACCCTTGGAGTGGCTGAGACCGGCACCATGTGCGATCGAAACAAAAGCTGTTCGGTGATCGAAGATGAGGGCCTCCAGGCCGCCTACACCTTAGCCCATGAACTAGGTAGCACCCACTCCCGTATAGGTACAGGGCAGGTAGCAGTTCACTGTGCTGGAATCCCTATCCAGAACTGTAGGGTGGCTGGTTCTAGGTCTCACAAGTGTTCACAGCAACAAAACCAGCCACAAGCACCAACATTTTGTCACTGGGTTAGGGTAGGGTTGCCAACCTCCAGGTTTGCCTGGAGATTTCCCAGTATTACAACTGCTCTCCAGGCTACACAATTAGTTCCCATGGAGAAAATGGCTGCTTTGGAGGGGAAGGTCTATGGCATTGTACCTAGCTGAGGTCCTGCCCCTCCTCAAACCCCACTCTCCTCAGGCTGCACCCCACAAAACTCCAGGTATTTCCCAACCCAGAGCTGGCAAGTCCAGGTTAGGGTAACTTTCTTGCTATGTATGGATTTGTGTTGAAGGCTGCTCCTTTTGGTAGCCATTATGGGCATGGAATGGCCGTAGCTACAATGGGAGAGACTGAGCATGCTCTGTTATTCCCAGCTCTGGAGCTCCTTTTGCAGCACTGCGGTTTTTCCATAATAAGCAATAGTGTACTTTTCTACTTCTTCAAGCTTTTGCCTTGTTTGGTTGTAAAATAGCATGTAATGTATGTAAGTGCCATCAAGTCACAACCAACTTATGACGACCCCACCAAGGGGCTTCCAGGGCAAGTGAGAAGCAGAGGTGGTTTGCCATGGCCTTCCTCTGCAGAGACTTCCTTGGTGGTCTCCCATCCAAGTACTGACCCTTCTTAGCTTCTCCCAGCACGGGGCTTTCAAGGCAAGTGAGAAGCAGGGATGGTTTGCCACGGCCTTCCTCTGCAGAGCCTTTCTTCCAAGTACCAACCCTGCTTAGCTTCCAACATCAGACGAGATCGGGCTATACCATGCCACCTTCCCTCCTTAAGACAGCATATTACGCAACTCAAAATATAACCTCTCAGCCTCTTTTCCCTCATTTAGATTTATTTTGACCATGTTTTCAGTAGCGTGGCTACATCTGACAACAATGGCAGGCCACCAAAGGGCAAATTCCTTCCTTTTCTGTTACTGAGCATGTCTTACGAGCATGCTCAGTAGCATCTAGCTACAAAATCCGACAAGCAGACTTTTGTTGCCTGGTCAGGAAGACAGCTTTCCTTACTGCCCTGTTTGCATTACTACGGGGCAGAATTTTCAATGGAAGAACGCGCAGCATTGGAAGAAACTCCGGAGGGTATTTTAGCAGTATGTCTGGAGAGATATTTGAAAGAGTAGTGAGTCCTTCCTCAGAGACAATGTGGGGTCAGACGGGAAAGAAGAATCTGCTAACCTCCCATTTGTCTCTTCTTCTGTTTCAGGGCACGTCCTCAGCATGCCCCACGATGACTCCAAGACCTGTGAGAGGCTCTTTGGCCACTTGGGAAAGCATCACATGATGGCCCCTCTCTTTATCCATTTGAACAAGACTTTTCCTTGGTCCCCTTGCAGTGCCATGTACATCACGGAATTTCTGGATGGAGGGCATGGTAGGTGCTGCTGTTTTTTCAAAATATCTGCTCTGCCTGTCACCCACAGTCAGCTTAGACAGGACAAGAGGATCCGCGTGTCCTTCTGTTCACAGGTCCTTCCTAATGAGTGTTTTATGTTTTGTACGCATTTTTACCAGGGCCATTTTTGTGCAGGAATG